TGAACCAGAAGCTTGTTTTCACACTCTACACAAATATGAATGATCAAGGAACGAGGTTGGAAGCAATGAGATTGCTTAGGCGTACTTTCTTGTTTCCTTCGTCGCCCACTGGTCCAAGAAGGTGCCTTTTATGCACCGAGCTGGACCTTAACATACAAACAAACAGTCAACACAACCAAAATCACTCAAGTTCAATCATGTTCCCAAAAACACGTCTGATAACATCCGATAAAAAAAATCCTTGAGCCCAGCACAAAAATATATTCAGTGAACATGGTGGACCTCCAACCAATAGTGCGCCTTGAACACATCGTAATCCCAAACCTCATCAGGCACACGCAACCTCCAAAAAAATGTTTCGAGGGAATATGGGCAACATATGGCAACATACTGTCAAATTCATTCAAATTCTGTCAACCACTGTCTCTTGCAAGTCGGGAGACGGAGAAGGTTCAAAAAACCCCTTTTGCCAACGATGTCGTGTCCACGGTTATCACATTGAATGTCGTACTGCCCTGCACGGAACCCATGCGTTGTGAAGGCTTGAGAAACGGATCCGCTGGCCGAAAAAATGTCCAAGCAATGAAGATCGCGCGCGCCTCAAAAAAACTCAAAGAAACTTAGTATGGTGACGCACATGTCCTTTTGAGGGTTGCTGTTTGAGAAACCTGTCCACGAGTTCATGAAGGATTCCATCTCCGTCACGTGTTTTGAAGCATCAAACCACAGGCGCTCTTCCAGTCCAGTGGATGTGTCCTGCAGTGACAGCCCGGAACACCCTAACAAAACAAAACGTTCGTGACCAAACCTAGAACAACTTCTTACAAACCTAAACAACAAGGTGAAACACAAAGGGGGCTCCTCACCGACTTTCATACCTCCACACATGGCTGTCAACACCGTGACAAAGCGCCACATCATCGTGAACGAGGCGACTACGCGGCCGAAAACAAATGAGCCACACTTTTGAGGGCAGCTCAGAAGTCCCACTCAAAACAAACTGAGAACCCTTGGTGTGTATTGGCTTCACCTCTTTCTATCTGAAAATGGATCTCTATATATATATATATATCATATATCGTATACGTTTATATAATGTATCGTTATATACACTGCCACAGGCCCTGAACCCCCCACATGTGAAACAATATTAATTAATCTGGGGTCCGCACCCCGTGTTTAACACCAGAAAGAAACTGCAAGCTTCACGCCACGCAATCGCAACCCACATGGGTAAATTATTCTGAGGTCTCCAACCCCTCTTGGATATCAGAACAAATTGGTCCTGTGCTCAGGGAAAGCACCCCCTGGAAGAAGCCACCCCTCCAAGTAGCCGATCGTTGCCAAATATGATCAAACATCGAAAGTGGGTGAGGCATTTGAGACTAGCAACGAAGTATCTTCACATTGGCCCCAGGCGCTATGAAGGCATCACCAGACACAGACAGCATACCTCCCTGCCCCCTCACCAACTTCTCGAAATTATTCTGGGGCCACCAACCCCTGTTGGACATCAGAACAAATTGGTCATGTGCTCAGGGAAAGCACCCACGGGGAGAAGCTAGGCCTCCAAGTAACAGATCGTTGCCAAATATTATCAAACATCGAAAGTGGGTGAGACACGAAATCGGTAGTATCTTCACAGTGGCCTCAGGCCCTATGAAGGCATCGCCAGACACAGACAGCCCACCTCCCTGCGCCCCTCACCAACCTCTCCACAAATGGAGAAATTATTCTGGGGTCTCCAACCCCTCTGGGATATCAGAACAAATTGTTCACGTGCTCAGGGAAAGCACCCACTGGGAGAACCTAAGCCTCCTAGTAGCAAATTGTTGCCAAATATTATCAAACATCGAAAGTGGGTGAGGCATTTGAGACTAGCAACGAAGTATCTTCACATTGGCCCCAGGCGCTATGAAGGCATCACCAGACACAGACAG